TCGTAATTGGCTCATTGGTGACTTAGTACAAGTGTAGCCATCTATGGGTAAAAATAATCAAATACGTAAACTCACAGTGGGCATGACATGGCATGCCCGTCGGCAATGGGTTAATTTGTACTTAAGAACTCTTAGACATTATATATATATATTTATATCTATCATTCTTTCTAAATACCTGTCTATCAATCTATCTATGTCTTTATATAGATTTTCTATATAGTTATGGTTGGACTTAAATTGACATATCAGTATAGCATATAAATAGTTCTGGGAAGAATCTTTTCATGTAGTTTTTTACTTTCTATTAATTTTATTATTTCTTTCTTTGTCTCTTTCTTTCATTCTTTTTTATTTTTATTTATTTATTTATTTATTTATCTTTTTTCAGAAATCTCCCCCGAGCAATCATGATCTCCATGCCTACTGTCACAATTATTTACTTCCTTGCCAATGTGGCATACTTCTCTGTCCTGACCCGGACTGAGGTTCTCTCGTCGAATGCCGTGGCTGTGGTATGTTGATGATGAAATATATATATATATATATATATATATATATATATATATATATATATATATATATATGTATGTGTGTATGTATGTATGTATATATATATATTGTGGAATGAATTTCCATGTAAGTAATGCACCAGGTATAGGATTTAGAACCCTAAAAGGCTATGTAAAATCTTGTTGTTTTACTTTTTTTATTATTTCAACTGAATGGCCATATGACATTGTTTTTGTTTTTTTCCTTTTTTTTTCTCTGTTACTGTTATTTATTTTAAGCCTTCAAATGCCAGATAGGAAAAAATGTCTTTACACAGTAAGGGGTCTTGAGAGATCCCATCTTGATTGGTGGTTTTCTGCATTCTGCACATAGTTAAAACTATTAACCCATTGCTGCCGGGGAAAATTAATAAAAAATGGGGGAAAATGCTGTGCTCATTTTTTATATTTTTTTATGAAATGTCTCTACACATAGATGGCTCTGCCTTACCTGATTTCACCTATCCTTCATTTGACAGATAAATGTATTTTTTATTAGTGCTATAAATATCGATGGTGTTATTTTTATTATAAGCTTTATAATTACTATAATGTTTTAAAAAATTAAAGAAAAGGGTGAACGGGTGAGACAGGCAGTACTCGTAAGTGGCTCACTGGTGACTTAGTACAAGTGTAGCCATCTATGGGTTAAAACAATCAAATAAGTAAACTCACAGTGGGCATGGCATGGCATGCCCGTCGGCAATGGGTTAAATTTTATGCATATGTTGTCCAGGACATGGTGCATGGAGCCAGTCCACTGTGCATTCCTTTGGTGTTTTTATTTTGATTTTTCTTCTTTTAATAGCACAATTTTATTTAATTTCTTCAAATTGTTTGAAGGTTTGCATCATACTGGATAACATGGCATGATTTTTTAGTTCTCTTACAATGCGATCTTAACATAATAAGATAAAGATTTTATCAGTTGTAATGTGATAGAAAGAAAAATGATACAATATAATGGCACTAAAATGACACGAAATTTAAAGTTCAATCCATTTTCTGTAGAAAAATCACAATCACCTTTATATTCAGAAAACAATTGAATAATTAGCCTAATGTTGCTAGAAAGTGTAATGTTCTCTGTAGTATTATTTTGGAAATGTGGCAATGCATAGATGGTTGCACAAGTTAGTAGTCTATGTAACCTTAAGTGATTTTCCCCTTCCTTGAGTTTTGGTGATTCTAATTTTTTCTAATGCTATTAATATACATACTGTTGTTGTTATTATTATTATTATTATTGTTATTGTTATTGTTATTATTATTATTATTATCATTATCATTATCATTATCATTATCATTATCATTATTACCATGGTGGTTATTACCATGTTTTCAACCAGTTGGATCCATTGATGCCTTGCTTCTGGCATGTCAACCAAAATCCAGTCATTAGGCTTACTTAGGTAGCTGGCCCACATGAACATTTGTGTGTGAAGACTCCTTGCCTCCCCTTTGCAATATTATCTCTTTTTCTGTACTATTTTTTTTCATTTCCCAAGGTTATTATTTGTCCTTTGATATCAAGATGGTAATAGACTATTTTATGTGCAGAGACTTCATATCATCTCAATAGGTAGTCTCTAACAGTAACAAAAAATCTTGTTATTCATGTAATCTTTAATTATTTTTCCAGTTCTCAATTTTCTATAACACACCCTGCACCACCATCACAATGGGCAGAAATAGAATCCTGAGCATAGAAATAATGGCTTCCCTATAGCCAGTGCTCTTCCAGCCATGGCTCAAAGCCCATACTCATTTACTTCTGGAAATGATGTATGAGCCTCTTCCTAAATGTCCACTGTTTTTGATCTTCCTTAACCCATTCGCGACGGGTAAAAATGAACAAAAAATGGGGAAAATGCTGTGCTCATTTTTTATATTTTTTTGTGAAATGTCTCTACACTAGATGGCTCTGCCTTACCTGATTTCACCTTTACTTGAATTGGTGGGAAAATGTATTTTTACCAGTGCTATGAATATAGATGGTGTTATTTTTATTATAAACATTATAATAACTATTATGTTATAAACATTAGTAACAGCAAAATACGATAACGTAAAATATTTTTGTAAATTAAAGAAAAGGATAAACAGGCAAGACAGGCAGTACAAGTACAAGTGTCGCCATCTATGTGTAAAAACAATTAAACAAGTAAACTCACAGTGGGCATGTCAAGTATACGTGACACCCGGCGTAAATGGGTTAAGAGTTCTGTGGACTCATGGTGAATCATTCCCATCATCCCAGCCTTTAGCTAGATTTTTCATTACAGAACATTCCCATCACCCTGACCCTAAGCCTAATTTTTCCATGACTGCATATTCCCGTCACTGGTCCTCAGACAGATTTTATCATGACATGATCATCATATCAGTAGAATGGGTTAACAGTACCAATGTCAATATAAAATTAGACAAGTATTTCTGAAGATCAAGTAAAGGGTAAACAGGTGAGATAGATAGGATTAGTTATTGACTTCTTGATGACTAAGCACTTATAGAGCCATCTATTTGTAAAGGCAATTGTACACACTGTGGGCATGGCATGTACATACTTGTCTCTGTGGTGACACTAGGTTGAGAGATCATACTTGAATATAAACTAGATTAACCGTTGCATAGGAAGACCCCTGAATGATTTAAAAACCATTATTGCTATTTTCAAGGAATATCCATATCCTTTGAGTTTTCACTCACTGTGACTCACTCATCATTTCCAAGAGTTTGTAGTACATAATTATTATCAGTAAATCACTGCAAAAGTAATTGCATGCAGTTACCACTGCCCAAGTATAAATATTCCTGAACAGCCAGATCCTGAAAACAGTTAGTTGCTAAATGGCATCTTGATAAAGATTTTTAGTGGTCAATATTACTATGCCAGGTGTAGGAAGGGGGACTGGTAGTGTTTAATTTATGTTATAGTTTAAGTACCACTAACTTTATAATGATTCTTATCAGCATTAATATCAAAAGTTGGAGTAGTTCTTGTTACCACATAATTGATATATATTCATAGATATTAAAGGGAGTAGATGCATGAAAGGTAATATATTTTTTTTCATTTCCAGTCCTTTGGCAACCGTATGTTGGGCGTGATGAACTGGACCATGCCCTTCTTTGTGGCGTGTTCCACCTTTGGTAGTCTCAATGGAGGGATCTTTGCCTCATCTCGCCTCTTTTTTGTTGGTGCTCGCGAGGGCCATCTACCTCAGGTTCTCTCCCTCATCAACATCAATAATTTCACACCTGTACCTTCACTCGTCTTCCTGGTAGGTTGGATGTAAGGTGTAGTGTGGAATATATATTGTGTGTTTGTCTGTGATTTATTATCATTATTATTTTTCTATTCATTTTTCTTTACAGTGTTGTACCATAGTGCAAATTCCATTCCGTGAATAATCAGATTTGTTGATGTATATTAGAAAAGGGAAAAATTTAAAGAAAATTTTTGAGTCTTTATTTTTATCATGAAATTCTGTGAATGTTTTCTTTTTATTTTCAGGGCTTCATGACTGTATTCATGTTAATCACATCAGATATGCATATACTGATCAATTACATCTCATTCAGCGAGTCCCTGTTTATATTAATGTCCATAGCAGCCCTCCTTTGGCTGCGGTATAAGGAGCCCAATCGTCACCGACCCATTAAGGTAAGCATTAGTATTCTTTAGTCTTTAACAGTAGGCAAAATTTCAGAAATATAGCTTATACGTTTATAGAGTCTTTTCTTTTTATTAATCTAATCGTGCTAGGTAATCACACTGCCTCTTGTTGTTTACTTTGGTGAATTTTGTTTGCACATCGATGGCTCCAAAAGTGCTCAGCCACAAAGGAACTAATTAGTAAGTCTGTGTGTCCTTAGCTGATTTCCTCTTTTCTCGAATTCTCAGGAAAAATATTTTATTCTACTGCTTTTAATATCAATATTATTATTATTGTTGTAGACATAAGGATTATTATAATGTATTAATTGATGCTAATAGCAGTAAAAAAAAAAAAAATGAAAAAAAAAAAAAAAAAAAAAAAAAAAAAAAGTCGAGGAAAAGGGTTAACAGGTGAGTTATGTATGGCTAGTAGCTGACTTCTTGGTTATTAAGTACCCATGGGCCAAGACAGTCAGTAAGCAAAAAGACAGTGGACATGGAATGTATTCTTAACATCCTGGCAAAAATGGGTTAAGCTAGAAAATTGAGGCATATATATTCAACTTAATTTTGTACACACAGCCATCCATCCAAGATCTAATATTCAAAGAGAATTTACATTAAAATATTTTACTTATACTTAGTAAAGCTTATACTTACCTTATCTTATTGCATGCTGATTGAGTTATTAGTACTGACATTTTCCCTAAATACATTTCCATCTATAATTGTTTAATCCATGGTCATATATGATCTTGCATTAGGGCGCAGTCAGCATCTGTAGGTAGAAGAGGCCAACTTAGGATAATGAAAACGTCTTGTCAAAAATCCATGTTCACTGGCAACTATATTTTTGAGACCTGTAACTTTATTAGACTTGGAGAAAAAGTGAAATTAGTGTTTATTTTATTAACCCATTCGCCCCATGTGGCAAGAATACATGCCATGCCAACTGCATGTTTATTTATTGTATTTACACTTACATGGCTTTACAAGTTCTTAATCACCAAATAGCTAGTTTATCAAAACTACCTATCTCACCTGTTTACCCTTTTCCTTCACTTTAGGAAAGGGTCTTTAGTATCATTTCATTGTCTAAAATATTTTAATGACAATTTGATAATCATAGCGTCATAACATCGATAGCAATGGTATTAATAAGAAAAAGACATTTTCCCACCAATTCAAGGAATGGGAAGATTAGGATCGGTAACTAGGGCCAACTGATAGACTCCTTGCCAGCTGAGCACACATAGAGCCATCTGTAGGTAACAAAATTCACCAAAAACTACAGGGGACAGAACATAAATCCGGGGCTAATGGGTTAATGCCCATCAGTGGAGAGAGTTGTTCATAATGTGCATTACTCTGGAGAGAAAAAAGTGTTAAGTTGTGATTTTAACCAAAGAGAAATATGATAAATGTCAAAGAAAATTAAGTATTTTAAGAATACCCCATATAAATTGGATGAAAAAATTTGTAGTTGAGATATATAATTCAATGTATACTTAGGTCTTGCAAAGTTTGAAGCATTTTATCTAAACTGAAATTTATGTACTGATGTTTCATTCTTGCATCCTATTACAGGTTTGGTTGGGATTCCCCATCTTGTTCTTCGTCATCTGCCTTTTCCTTGTGGTCTTACCTATCATTCAGCGACCCATCGAGTTAGGCGTTGCTATTGGTGTCATTATAATTGGCATTCCAGTCTACTATTTTGCCATATACCGAGAAGACAAACCAAAATGGTTTATCAGATTTACAGGTGAGTGTTCTTCTGTATATATTAAAAGTTTATGGAGTTTAATGATAGAATTTGATTCAGCATTTCAAGAAGCTGAAGCTTTTTTTATTCATCTTTTTTCTTTCTTATATTCTTTGTTTCTTTTTTCTTTCTTTCTTTCTTCTTTATCTTTGTTATTTAGTCAACCATACATGTTCAGTAACATGTATGATTGAGAGGAGTTTGTGTCACTGTTTACTTGCTGTTAGCGTACAGATTTAGATAACATGAAATAACATCTCTTACGGTTTGCTAAAAATATCATTAGAAATAAGCCAATGGAAGAATCGTATGTAGCTCATCATTTGCCTAGGATTAATTCATAATCATATTTAGCTGTTCATGTGCTTAGGATTAACTTGCTTATAACAAGTGGTCAGCATGTGGGGCAAAGAATAGGAAAAGACATATCAAAGTGAGGCACAGGGATTTTGTATTAATAAGACAAGCTAATTGAAATAATTCTAGATTTATACCATGTACCTTGTATTCCATGATCATGAGTGTCAAGAGATATTTAGTATTGGGAAATTACATTTTGAAATCACAGGTCGCATGGACCGGAATCATTAACAGTCCTTGCCGTTCTAAAAGTATGTGTAGGTCACTACTTGCAGCAATGATTCTGAAAAACATGAAGGAAAGAAGACTGCCAGAATATACCTATATGTTATTGTTATTGTTATTTTGTATGGTAAACTGTTACTAGCCAAGGTTTTTTGTTGTTAATTCAGTTTGTTTTATTTAGTTTAGTATTGCCTGTTTAATTTCTTTTTTATGATATTTATAGCAGGTTATTTATAGTTTATGGTTTACTCAGAATATTATAGTCAGTCTATTTAGTCTAACTGATTGCATAGTTTATTATAGTTCATTCACTCTATCTAATAGTAAGTTCAGTTACTGCATGTGGCTTGCTCAGTTTATTAGTCTATTTATATTGGATAGCTTGTTCCCTTTAACTATGGTATTTATCCCTTTTTTCTTTCACTTCCGCAGAGAAAGTGACATTTACGACCCAAATACTGTGTGCTGGTGTACCTGAGGAAAAGGACAAGTAAAAGTGAATCAGCGCTTCCCTGTCGTGAATTAATTTAGCTTCCAGTCCTCCACATTTCTTGATAATTACCGCCTCTTCTTTCACTGTGCCTTTCCCATCCATAAGAGTTTAGGGTTTTCTTAATTTTGCTTATGTGAAATAGCAGAAATTTATTTTCAGAAATGTAAAGTTCTGATACCCTCTTGTTATTCTAAAGATACAGTTGTATTTGTTTTACATTTGGAGAATACTGATGCACAAATTTTGTTTTTGTTACATATTTAAAGGAGCTATCTGATCTGTTAAAAATCTGTTTATTTACATGAAACATATAATACACACAGGCACAAACAAGCCAAAGTATTGTGATAAAAGCCAAAAGGTTATTGCAAGGGAGAGAGAGAGAAAAAAAAAACATTAAGAATGAATGTAGATGACAGAAGTACTACACTTTTTTTTCTCTTTTTCAAGAATTCCTCAAAGAAGTTTAACTCAGTTACCTAGTCATTATGAAGTTTGTGGAGATTATGTCTTAAGCCTATAGCAAACCCATTTTTTTCATGAATTAGGCATGGATTTTAGAAGATCTTGGAAGTTTTCAAGAACAATATTATTTCTCATTTATCTCGCCAATTGTGGTTTGGCATTGCCATCCATTATTATGCTTACAGTAATTGTAAAGGTATGTATGCTGACTATTTTTTTCCTTTTGTTTTCCATTCTAAATCATTCATGTTAACCTATTTTTCTGTGTGGGTTCATGCATTCTGTCCTTTTATGTTATGGTTATCGGTATCACTTACGGTATCAGTGTCATTCAGAAGACTTAAGTTATTGTGTTCGTAATTTATGTATTCAGTATTTCAACATTTATGATTTGCACAATATACCACTACCTACACTTTGGAAATCAAGAACACCTCTGCTTTCGGAATATTGGAATGCTGCTTCCTTACATTTGTCATATTTGTGAGATGCTGGTATGGCAAATGAAATATTTTTGTTGCCTGGTTTTATTTGTTAAGTTGCATTCATTTATTCACAGTATTTTTTCCTTAACTTTTTACAGATTGATTTTGTTGTTGTTGAATTATGAGCGCTGTATTATTTTCTTTGAATTTCAGTACTGATTGTTTCAGTAAAGTGACTGTCATTATTCCAAATATTTAACAGGTGATTTTAACAGAATAATGTTCTGTTATTCCACACACTATGTATCATTGAAATAGCAAGTTGATTAATTAAATTAAACTTTCTTTTTGTAAATGCTTTTCCAACAAACCTACATTGTCTTTCAGAGCTTCCCCTGGCTATAGTTATTAGTGTAGGAATCGTCCTCTTCCTTATGATAATGGAGAAAATTTACTTGAATGTGCTTCCGCCAGAACCCAGGCCTGTTTCTTAGTTACACAGTATAAGTATGACTACAGCTGAGTGTAATCAAATACATAATCACATGATCATGGACAATAAGTTTCCATTCCATCTTTTGCATCCCCTTTTTTATGTTCATGTTCCTGCACTACTTTCACTATATATTTTGTTCTCTCCTCCCCCCCCTTTCCACCTCCCCCTTCCCTTTCCCATTTCTGCCTATTCCTTCCCTTCCCTTCCCTTCCCACAACTTCCCTTTCCTTACCTTCCCCTTCCCCTTTCTATCTTTCCCTTCTTTTCCCTTCCCTTCCCTTCCAATCCCTTCCAATCCCTTCTCTTCCCTTTCCACAGCTTCCCACAACTTCTCTTTCCTTACCTTTCCCATCCCTTTCTATCTTTCCCTTCTCTTCCCTTCCCTTCCCTTCCCTTCCCTTCCCTTCCCTTCCCTTCCCTTCCCTTCCCTTCCCTTCCCTTCCCTTCCCTTCCCTTCCCTTCCCTTCCCTTCCCTTCCCTTCCACCTCCCTTCCCTTCCACCTCCCTTCCCTTCCACCTCCCTTCCCTTCCACCTCCCTTCCCTTCCACCTCCCTTTCTATCCTTTCCACCCTATCCCTTCCACAGCAGCTCACTGATGCAGTACCCTGTATCTGCAGCCAACAGACAATAATGTAAATTAGAAATTTAATGCAGATCAAGAAAAACAATTCCCTGATTTTCTTCATACTTGGATGGACTTAGAAAGAGCATTTTCATTTATTGAGTCAATGTAGGATTAGATATGGTCTTTGGAGGTTATTGAGCATTAAAATGGGTTTTCCCTGTAATATATTAGACTTTTCTTCAGTTTGAATGATCACTCTGAGGACATATTTATACAGGTTTCTTTGCTGTCACATCTGTACCGGTGCATTGTTGTGATATGACAGTGTGAGTTTGACTGGCTGAATAATGCCTTGTATTTTTCCAGTGATTGCAATATACATTTCAATTTTTAACATATGGAATACATACTTTCTGTCGATACAGTCTGAAATATATTTTGTACAGAATATTGCATGCTTGCTTTCTAATCTCAAAATACATTTCATTTCATACAATGTATGATGCCATATATATATATATATATATATATATATATATATATATATATATATATATATATATATATATATATATATATATATATATATATATATAAACTGGAGTATGTATGTATGTGAAAAAAAATATCGTGTCTTCAAAAATAGCTGGCTTAGTGAAAATAGCACCTTGTGTACTTTTTACATAAGGCCTTGGTAATGCCAGCTGTTAAGTGTTCATCGTAACACTGTTTTGAGCTTTGTAACTGTGACAAACAATTGACAATCTTCCACTGAGTTTTCCATATAAACTTTAAATTGTTACATATTAAAGCAGTGTATTCAATAGAATTAGTATCACTAGGCTTGTTTTCAATAAATGAGAATATTATTATTATTTTTTTTTTTATGATATTTACCATTTTATTGCAATTATTGTTATTTCGTCTACAATTATTTTTATCATTAATGTTATTACCATTGTTTTTTTTCATAATATAAAAATGCACATGTTTAATCATGAATCTTCTTTCATATTCATGTAAATATTGTAATGTATAAGCTATCAGAGTACTGTTTTTTACAGAGATACTGAATAAAGAGTAAATTAATATTTCCTATTAATATCCTTTTTTTTCTGTCACAACCCATAGTGGCAGATCAAGGGGAGGAAGAGAAGCTGGATGCTAGGGGACCTCTTGATTTCTGTGAATGCATGCTGTTATTAATAAATTGAAAAAAATATATACGTATATCAATGCATTCCTTGAAATCTGTAGTGACACTAGTCAGTGTTGGTTCAGAGGACAAGAGAAGAAACAGTGTTATAATAAATGAGTGATGTGGATTCAAGATACTGAACGACCAATCCATTGCTCGTTGTTGTTGCAGGGGCTTAGGAGATGGAGACTGAGGCTTAAGTTAGGGGATCATCCTTATCTTGAACCTCAGCCCTTGCCTCAACTAAGTTTGCATGGTCTTTTCTTCTCTGCCTTTCCTTTATCTCCTCTTCTTCATCCCTTCTCCTGTCCACTAATCCTGATCATTAACTCATTTTTACTCTTTCCACTACAATGCTTTGTCATAATGCTGTGTGACTTTTAATGTCTAGCAGATTTGTTTGCTTTGACCATTGACCATTCTGGAAATCCATGAACATTACTATTTAGATTTACTGTTTTAATGAGCCTTCAATTGTTTTTGTCTTATCTTGTTTCATTTATTCCCTTGTCTCATGTCTTCTTGAATGCAGCCACTTCAATTTCTCTTTGGTCTTCCTCAGTTTTGTGTTCCCATTATTTTCATTTCCATGATCTATCTTGCTGCATGGTTATTCATTATCTCCCTGCTTCATCAGCTGTCCAAACCATCTTAATCTTGATTTCTAGGCTTTCTGTGACACTTCAGTGACTTGTACTCATTCCTTATTCTATCTCTTCGAACCACCTTACTCCTTCATTCAAGCATCTTTGATTTCACCACATTCAACCCATTTTCTTCTGTTTTCGGCAGTGTACCTATCAGAGAGGAATTATGTGTTTTAGTTCTTAGATCTGCATAGAGAAACATGGAAGCCATGTGGACAATGCTGAGATTAATTACGGTATGAGTGGTAGGCATCTGAAAGCAGTAAAGAGCAAGAGAGTATGGATAGGACTGGGAGTAAGGCAGAGTAATTGGTTTGAAGTTAAAGCAGGGCCCAACAGGTGTGTGAAAACTCAATGGCCATTTCAAGTTCACATGGATGAAGTAGTAAAGGAGGCAAATGAAAGTTTTAGGAAACATAACTGTTTGTGATCTAGTGCTTGTAGCTGACTTGTAGGGAAAATTGAAATAGGAAAAAAATGTTAGTAAGAGTAAAGTGAATAGATTCATGATAGGCAGAGATGGAACATGGCTAAAGGATAGGAAGTATGGGGAGGCATTAGAAGAAATGAAAAGTCATCAGAGATTGTTGTCTTATTTGCCAAGAAGTGTGAGTCTGGAGGATGAAGTAAGATAATATGACTGAGGAGGCAGGGAATGCTCTGTTTAGTACGAAGAGAGAGTGAAAATGTTTGGAGCTGGGATGAAGGTAAAGAAGGTCTCTATAAA